AAAGGGAGACCGAAGGTTAGAGGCTCGCGTGCAAACACAGACTCTGTGCCGTAATCCCTTTAATCCAGCCTCCTTCACCCCCATTCGCCCCGCCCCCAGCACACCCCCAAATACACAGCCAAGGGCCCAGGTTTCCGCCTTATTCTGCGGCTAAGACGTCTCATCCCCTTCAAATACACGGAACATTCACTTTTCTTGTGGCTCCTTTGCAGCCGAGGCGGAGGGCTGGCGCTGGGCGGCCCCTCGCCTGACCTCAGGCTCCCTGGAGCGGCGTCCCCTCATCACATCCACTTTGGACCCGGCCGCCGGAGCTTCCGGCCGCTGCTGGACGCGGGGACGCGGCCACGCAGACCTGCCACCCAGACGCGCCGTCCTAACCGCATAGAAGGACTGCGGAAAATACCTAAAGCAAATGTTACGACAGGACCAAGAGTGAAAGAGTGGAGATGTAGTCCTCCGGTGCCAGCAGTAAAGGACAAACACAGAGCCGGAGTGGAAACAGAGAAGCATGCGCTTTTTTTGCATGAGAAGTTTTCTGCATCTGACAGAGGTTGCCCCTCCCTCCTCTAAAGATGTTCCCTCCCCTGACCGCTACCCCCTCGCCCATGGTTTTCTCCCCTCCTTCCTCGAAAGTCAGTGTTCTCTGGGATTTTTTTAAAAACTTTATTTTCCTAGGGATTTCATTCACTACCAGGGCTTCAAGCGACCCACAGAAGATGATAAGTTCGGAAGCCAGGTGTACCTTCCGACTCTGTCCGCAGAGAGCCAAGCCCATAGGTGTGATGCCAGCAAGACCCCCATGCGGATACCCGCGCATCTCGTAGCAGCAGACCCTTCTGGGGCTCCCGTTCCCCCAGACTCCACGCAAATCACTGCCTTCGAAAAGCCAGCCCCTGCCTCTCGGCCCCAGGCAGCTCGCCCCTTATCCTTCTGAATGTTGGGATCACGACGCCTAGGAATTAGCATCCCGCTAAGAGCAGTTTTAACCACTGAGTAAGAGGCATCGGGGGTACAAATACTCCAGCTCTCTCGCCCCCTGGCCTGGATGATTCTGGGGATTGTCTTTTACCCTGTTTGCAAGAGTCCCTGTGGAATTCAGCTCCTGGAGTCAACGGTGGCCTTAATAACACACTTCTCTGTGCTTCCTTTTCTTCACACCACCTCTCCCCTCACCTTATTCTTTACATCCCCCAAGTCCCCACGTTCACTCAAACTCCTGCCTCACACTCTTCTAGGGGAGCCCAATGCGAGGCACTCTTTCTGTGCAAACGTATATGCAACTCACCATCATTTCCCTGAATCACTTCCTCTTCCTGCTTACCCTGCCTCGGTCCGTGACATCACCTTTTACCTACACCGAGCCAGAAGTCTCGCTCATTCTGTCTCCTTCCGTGTCTGCTGGACTTTTGCTTCTTAACGTCCCCGGAATCCACGTGTCCTTTCATCTCCCCTTCACGACCTTAGCTAAGACCCTGCACCAGCTCTTCCCTTGTCTTGCCGAGTCCAATCCTGCCCCTCTCCATCCACTTCCACACTTGCCTGAGACGCTTTCTAAACCAGCAACTGGTTCATGTGTTTCCTCTGATTCAGGTCGTCCACGGCCTCCCTGCCGCTTAAGAAGAAAACCAAAACTGTTCAGGTGACACTAAAAGCCTCAACTCACCAACACCGCCTCAGATACTGGCCTTGGCCCGTGGTCCCCACGTGCCACTGGTCAGAGCACCTAGCAAGCGTCATGGCAACCGTCTGTCCCCTCATCTGTCTCCCCAACTAGAAAGCTTGTTCCTCACTGCACCCCCAGCCCCTAAAGATCGCCTGGTACGTAATGGGAACCGAATACATACACTTGAATCAATGAATGAAAGAATGAATGAGTTTGAATGTGATGAACCCTTGCATTTCTTTTGTCCACACGACTGTTTCACCCCTTTGAGTGTTTGGGGAAATCTTCACTGTCGGAGCTTAGCGGGAGGCTGAAAGGACCCTCCGAAGATGCTGAATATGCCACATTCTTGCTTTCCCAGGCTCTCCTGCGGCTGGTCCTATGACCAAGGTTCTGCCAACCAGGCCCGGCGAGTGGGACTCAGACCCAGGCAGGTGGTACAGTGGGGTCAAAGGTGGGGCTCAAGGTGAAAAGGGTGGGGAAGAGGAGCCCTGATCCTGTGCTTCCTTCTCTCTGTCTCTGTACGTGTGCTCCTCTATTTCTTTATTTCTCTCATTTTATTTCTCTGCCTCTGTCTTTATTATCTCTTGTTATTTCTCTCTCTTTGTAGTTCCCTCTAATTTTCTCTATTTCTCTCTGCCTTGATCTCTCTTTTTCTCTTTCCTTTTCTTTCTTTCTCTGTCTCTGTTTCTCTCCCCCCAGCCTCCCTCCCTCCCTCCGTCTCTGTCCCTCATTGGTAGGGGTGCAGTGGAAGTGTCCGCAAGGCGCGTGGCGTCGTGGTACAGATGGCGCTCTGCTCGCAGCAGCAGCAGCCGCAAAGTCAAGCTCCTGTGTCTCATGCGCGGTGGCTGCAGCACAGGGTCCTCCTCGGACCAGTCCCTTGGAGGAGGTTGGACACTGTTTCTGGAAGCAGAGCTTATAAGCCAGGTTCTTCAGGCACCCAGTGATTCTGTGAGCTACCCCATATCCTCTCTTTTGTTTTTTGCGGTACGCGGGCCTCTCACTGTTGTGGCCTCTCCCGTTGCGGAGCACAGGCTCCGGACGCGCAGGCTCAGCGGCCCTGGCTCACGGGCCCAGCCGCTCCGCGGCACGTGGGATCTTCCCGGACCCGGGCACGAACCCGTGTCCCCTGCATCGGCAGGCGGACTCTCAACCACTGCGCCACCGGGGAAGCCCTGCCCCACATCCTCTTAACAAACTCCTCTCTTGCTCAGTCAGCCAGAGCTGCTTCTCGTGCCTGCAAATAAGAGCCCTGACAGAGACATCAGGAAAGCTGCCGACAGAATTACAATGAAAATTAATGATAAAGAAAATATTTTTTAAATCTTTAGAATTGATGAGAACTTGAGAGCTGCTTAGAGATTAGCTAACACAACATCCCAGTTTGACAGTTGAAAGACTAAGTTTCAATCTAGGCAGCTCAGGGAGACTCAGCCCACTCTGGACCCCGGGCCTCCTGACTCCAAGGGGCCACATTAGGGATTCGCCTTCTGGTGAAAGCTTCCTGGAAACACATTCCTTGGGAGAAAGAAAGGCTGGATATGAAAAGATGCTCCATTTCATAAGTCATCGGGGAAATGCAGATTAGAACAGTGAGATACCACTACACATGTTTTTGAATGGCCAAGGTACAGACCACAGACAACACCAAATGCCAGTGAGGGGCTTCCCTGGTGGCGCAGTGGTTGAGAGTCCGCCTGCCGATGCAGGGGACACGGGGT